CACTGCAGCCTTGACCTGCTGGGCTTTGGTGATCCTTCCGCCTCAGCCTTCCAAGTAGCTGGAACTACAGGCGTGCGCTACCACCCCCGGCTGATTTTTTGATTTATTGTAGAGATGAGGTCTCACCAAGTTGCCCAGGCGGGTCTCGAGACTACGGGCTCAGGTAATTCACTCACCTCAGTCTCCCAAGGAGTGGGATTACAGGTTGAGACACTGAGCCCGGCTGGCCCAGTCAATCTTAAGGAAAAGATTAAATTCAAAGTAGTGTCCTGGGCAACCTCTTTCAGGTCCCCTCCCACTGTGGGAGCGCAAAGAAAAAAAAAAAAAAAAGAAAGAAAGTAGTGCTCTATAGTAAGTGACACTAGTACAAATAAAGCTAACATATACCTAACAGTTAAAATAATAACATACACCTAACAGTTAAAATAAGGCATCTTGGGTAAACCGGTAAAATATACCACGAGTTACAGGGTGAGCATCCCTCAGCTGAAATGTGTAGGATCAGAAATGTTTCAGCTTTTTAAATTTTTTAAAGATATTGGAATATTTGCATATCCATAATGAGATATCTTGAGGATAGGACCCAAGTCTAAACCCAAACTCATTTATGTAATGTATACATTTCATCAGCAAATAAAGGTGTTACTATCTCAGTCACCCAAGTGTTCAATCTGTGGTTGTGTAACATCTCCATCATTTCTGAGTCTGAATTGTTATATAGCTGATAAGCAATCGTTTTCCTACACTTATTCCCACATAAGCACTTAGAAGCATGACATAGCATTCAAACTATGAAAAACTAAAGTGTGTTCCAAGTAACTAAGCAGCGTAACACCGGCACCAAAATACCTGCGTAAGCTATTAAACAAAAGCAACAATAAGCAGCAGGTTTTGCATCTCTATCTTCAGATGCGGTGTTTTCATTAAAAGGTTACTGTATACTCTTTTTTCCCTTCCTTTTTTAGGAAAGAAGAAACAGTAGACACAGCTGAGGGGTCGGAAGGTGGCTCCTCCAAGGACGAAAAGACATTCTGTTGGATGCCTTTTTAAAATGTCTCCTCCAGAGTCATCTGCCCCATTAAAATAGTTTTTGTCTTACAAGTCTCTCTGTGCTTTTATAAACAGGCACAATTTCTTTTTTGGTAATGAATGAACATCGCTAGTCCTTCAAGAAGTCCATCAAACATTTTGAACATGTTATCTGCAGGCACTTTTATTGCAGTGTTAACAATGTCATCTTCATCTTCACTGTTTTCACAATTACCTTGATTCAGAACCATTTCAGCTATTTCACCTCAGTTAAGGAACAAATGGAGTCTCATTATGAATACTAAACACTTCATTATCTACTTCTGCCAGCTTACTGATGAACTCTTAAGGTATGTTTTTGCATATGTAAGGAGGCCAGACATTACTTTTCTCTCACTTGACATAAGAATCCTTCAAAATCACCACTTTTATCATCATCACGGAACACAGCTACAGGTCGAAGGTTGCGCCAGGCTCGCACGACTACGCCTTGAGTCACTGAGATCCGAGCCCTGACAACCGCATCCTTCATCCTGCTGAAACCCTTCCACACCTACACATCCACTAGCTTTTGCTAGCACACTGCTCCACAACTGTGTTTTGATATTTACTCCTCATGGAGCTTCGAATTCCTTGGTCACGTAGCTGAATTAATGAAGTCACACTTGAGGAAAGCACATGGCATAAACATTAATTTTGGTAAAAATTTCAGCTGGAGAATGAGCAGAACAGTTGTCTAGAAATAACAAAACATTGCAGTTGTAATCACTGTAGTGAGCACTGGCACAAAACGTGTGACCAATCCGAAGAGATGCCCCTGGTGATCCTTGTCTTTCTGTTAGCATAATAAGAGACTGTCAAGAAACTCACTCCTTGAAAGCAGTGAGAATGCAAGCTTTTGCCTATCACAGCAAGTTTACACTTATGCATGACTGCTTCATTAGCACATGCTAGCACAGTTATTCTCTCCTTGGCATCCTTAATTCCTGTAGGGGCGGTCAGTGTCCTTCTAGGGCAGTGTCCCACAAAACAGGCCAGGGGCAGTGGCTCAAGTCTATAATCCCAGCACTTTGGGAGAAGGAGGTGAGAGGATTTCTTGGGCCCAGGAGTGCAGACCCTGTGAGTGCAGCAGTGAAACCCTGTCTCTACAAAAGAAAAAAATAAAAAAAATTAGCCAGGCATAGTGATGTATGCCTGTAGTCCCAGCTACTCGAGAGGCTGATGTGAGAGGATAGCCTGCACCCAGAAGGTTGAGGCTGTGGTGAGTCCTGATTGTACCACTGCACTCTAGCCTTGGCGACAGAATGAGATCTTGACTCAAAACTAAACAAACGATGTTGATGTTTTATCAGTGTGATAGACCTGTTTAGATTTTCATCAGTGATAAACCTTGGCAGACTCAATGAACTTCTCTGCTGCTTCATACAGATGCTTACCGCCCCCCAATCTTTAATTAACGTTGTGTCTTTTCATAAATGTCTACAACCAGCCTGTGGAATATTCACAGTTCAGTATCAGCAAATCTTGATAGATCTTTGTTTTATAATCAGCATTTTTAAGTGGCATATGTTCACTCCATCAGCTGACGGATCCAATCTTCCAATATATAATTGAGGATTTTTTTTGCTCCATGCAGTGGTTTTCTATTATCCATTTACTTCCATTCATCACTCTAGGTACAGAACTTCAACAGTTCATTCTCCTGTTTCTTCAGGTCACATATGGTGGTCATGCTAACATCACACTCTTCTCTAAGATGTTTCACAGACCACTGTCTAGTTTCTCCAGTAGCTTGACTTCTGTGTTAAAGGAAAACACAAATTCCTCTTTTTCTGGTCACTGCTATCCATAGGGATACATGCAGGTTTTCTGAAATTTTCAAAAATATCTTTACATCACAGCAGAGAAGCAGCAAAAAACCACAAGTAATGGATGTAGGTTTTGGTCCTGAGTGGGACATTGTGGAGAACCTGCTGTTGGTACACCCAGTCTGCACACACGCCATTTGATTACTCTTTGTGTGCATGCTTGCGGGAGAATCTGAGTATGTGTGGAAAAGCTATAGCAAAAGCTGAAGGGAGGCCGGGGCAGTGGCTCACATCGGTAATCTCAGCACTTTGGAAGGCGAAGGTAAAAGGACTGCCTGAGTCCGTGGGTTCGAGATCAGCCTGGGAACTTGGCAAGACCTTGTCTTTACAATAGATCTAAAAAATTGCTGGGCATAGTGGCACATGCCTGTGGTTCCAGTCACTTGGAAGGAAGAGACAGAAGGATCACCTGAGCCCAGCAGGATGAGGATTAGTGGCCATAAGCGTGTCACTACACTACAGCCTGGGTAGCAGAGTGAGACTCCAACTCAAAAAAAAAAAAAAAAAGCTAAAGGGAGTTGGGAGAACCACTTTTCCCTTAGGATGCCGAATAAACTGTTCTGTGCCTGCGTTTTGACTGTGATCCATCCCATGTGGTCAGGTGTGGAGGTTTCCACTCACGGCATCATGTCACTGCTCACAATATTTCCAATTTTAGAACATTTTTAATTCTAGATTTTCAGATTAGAGGTGATCAGCCTTTACTTTAAGTAACATCTCTCTCAATTATATAGGCTATCGGACAGTCATTTAGACAGAATATTATGCAACTGGCACTACAGCATGAATTTCAAACACATTTTACACTCTATCAGTTTAGTATCATATGGTTGTAAAATGTTTCATACTAGAAAAACTGAAGAACACAGAACTGAACAAAATCATCAAAAAAATTTGATTATATACATCCCATCATATCAATAACATAAAGATGTATGCGATGTATGCAAAAGACAGGAGACAAAGAAAAATAACACAGAATTTTGAGCACGTGTTTAAAAAAATCTTGTTATGAAAATAATTTTACCAGCCGGGCTCGGTGGCTCAGCCTGTAATCCCGCACCTTTGGGAGGCTGAGGTGAGTGGATTGCCTGAGCCCGCGGGTTCGAGACCTGCCTGGGCAACTTGGCGGG